CTTCTTCATTGACTATAAAAGCCACAGGCCTCTCTATTCTGTGTCCTCTGTGCTCTTTCTTTGAGACTGCTTGGGCAGGGAGGAGGGTCAATTCACTTTTCGGCATGTCCACCTCAGCCGTTGGGAACCCTGGCAAGCAACCAGGCTCAGTGCTTTCTCTCATGAACCCATAGAGCAGCCTTTCTCTAACTTGAATTGCATCAGATTTACCTGGAGGGTGTTTGCTGGGCCTCACCCCTAGAATTCCTAATTCAGTGGGTCCAGGGTGGGAACCAAGAATTTTCATGTCTATTAAGTCTCCAGCTGATACCGCTGCTGTTGGTCTGCAGCCACATCTTGAGAACCATCGCTGAAAAAGCACTGGACCTGATATTTAAACTTTGCTTCAGAAATAGTCCAAGATCCTCTCTATACTACAGGCGACAACAACAAATGAAAACAAATCCTCATCCATTTTTCCTGAGACAAAAGTAATCCATGGTGACAGAAACCCTAACAGTGGTTATTTTGGGGGGATAGTAACTGGAAAGAGGATGTTGAAAGGGACCTCTGTAATATTCTATTTCTTGATCTGACTGGTAGTTATATGAATGTGTCCCCTTTGGGAAAGTACATTTGAGCTGTACATGACAATTTGTGCACTTGTCTATCTATATGTTATGCTTAAAATCTTACTTAAAAATTAATAGCAATGATAAACACTGTCAAAAACCTGGGGAAAAATGGGCCCCCTCTTCCCTAGCCTGTACCTCTGTTTATAAGTTGGCTTTCCCCTGGGGATATGCTGGCAACCCAACAAAGAAAATATTCTTTTTTAATTTCTTTTGTGCTGGCGTCATTTGTGTGTGTGTGTGTGTGTGTATGTGTGTGTGTGTGTGGTACCTGGGGAGTGGCTGCTTCCCAAGTTGTCATTTCTTTAAAAACAAATCCAGATCTTCAAAAGAAAATATCATAACATAAATATTTGCCTGTTTTAAATTCTTAGAATAATAGATATTAATAGGATAATTTGAAATGCAAATTCAGCTCTCATTAATGCTTTCCCAGAATCCTAGTTTGTGCAACTTGACTGAAGAGTAAGAATTTTGGGAGGGAAGGAAAACTCACTTCAGATGGCCTGCCTGTTTCTTTGTGAAGTGCCCAAGAGGCATGAGATTATTTCTCCTAGATGAGGGCAGATGTCGCCTAAAGAATTCCCTCTTTCATCACAGACAACCTTTGGAGTCTCAGTGAGGAGGCTTGTTTTGCAAATTTTTTACCAAAAAAAAAAAAAAAAGCTAATTATCGCTTTTTAAACCCCCCTAGAGACATTCCACTTTCTACATCATTCTTTTTCCACAATTTAAGTTTATGGGTAAAAAGGTTTACTCAGTCTCAAAGGTTGGTTTCAAATGTAAATGAGGCCAGGTTACTTGGCACTTCTGATGTTCATTGTTATTTGGAGACTCAGGAGCTCAGTAGGACACTTTGGGATATGTTCCCTGGT